TGGTGACTAAAGGGTGTTTTTTCATGTCCTCTATGCTCTAACTACGAAAATATTTGATTTACAAATAAGGAATCCTACTTCGTGGAATTTCATTTATCACGGTAGGGTCTAGAACTGATTAACCGCGATAAATGAGGGTTCACTGTATTTCCAACTTCAACATGAATTTGCATCTGAGCAATTGATGGCCTTTTCTGCAGGTGCCGCGGCCTTGGTCTGACTGATGGTGCTGAGCTTCTCTGTCACCTCTTTCCACATCCCTAGTCAATTTGATTCCTCTGTAATCCATCCAGTGAGGTGCACATATCGAATTGCCACTTAGGTTGTTGAAAAAAAGATCCTTGCAATAAGTTGGCTTTCCTAAATTCTATCTTGTGACCTCCGGCATCATCCCTCTCATCAAGGTCAAAGCTCCCAGCCAGGTTGTTGTCAACATTCACAGAAATGATCAATGCATCTTGATGGCATGCTCTATTGATTCCCTACTGCAGAAATTGGTACGCACCTTTCCACTTGGTTAGTGTGCAAATCTGAATACTAGTCGTAGCACCTGGTCTTCCTTGTCGGTATATGATTATCATCCTATCACTGACAGTGTTGCACTTCAGCTAGCCCTTGAACTACAGATGAGTGCAATGGCAAACACACAGTACTCAGCACCATCTGATTTAAGACCTGGTCAGCCAGTCATCCCAAGAGCTTTCCTGGTGTGAACCCTAACTGCGCCTTGACCCTGTGCTCATCCAGTGCCAGCCACTGCTCCCTCTCCTGTAACATGTGCGACAAACCCTTTTTGCAAAGACACTGAGGATCAGAGGGGTTCTGATGCCCTACTGAGTGACTTTTTTTCAGAGTTGATCAACACCTGAATTTTATTTATCACGCCACCGTGCTATTGCCTCTCAAGTCTCCCTTCCCTTCCTTCCCTCTCGCCTAGACTCCAGCCTCACCTCGGAGCCAGCGCAGGAGGAAGTAGTCATCAGCTTTGGGAAGGGTAGGCAGTAGGTCCTGAAGGTTCTTCCGGAACTGAAGGATGGAGGTTGATGGTCAGAGGGGTTCTGATGACCCTTGTGCCCCCGGCCCTGTCCCCATCCTTTCCTGCCCCCTCAATTAGCCAGGCCACCTGCCTGGGGACCCTACAGAGTAGAGACCTCAGAATTAGCAGCAGATACCTTGGACCATTTTGCTACCTGGAAATGGGGCATTCCCCTAAGCCACCACGAGAGAAGGAAGTGGGCACTTCTCAAACCTTGGGGTGCCCTGCTCCCTGAAGGTCCCTGAACCATATCCTTCCAAAGATCCCTGAGTGCTTCTGAGGCTGGGCAACCAACATGATTTAGGAATGTTGCCCCCATACTGTATTGTGAGCGTCTAGATTACAAAATAAGCTACTTGGCCTCTAAGCCTCAGTTTCCTCATCCATGAAATGGGGATAACGATAAATGTGTGCCAATCAAATGAGCTTGGGTCCATAAAGCACGTAACATGTGGCCCAGCTTGCAGTCGATGTTGGGTAAGCGTATGCACTCAGTAAAAGTGGAAAGGCTGGAGCCCTGGGACGTGGTGTCTTTGTGAAGAGAAACCTCAGGCAAAGGTTATCAGGGAGGAACTGGAAGGCAGCTTCCTCAGTACATCCTTCAGAGCTGTGCAGGATGGTCATCTGCAAAGGAAGTAGCAAGGCCCGGAGTCTTCCAGCCTCCAGGCCGTGCCCTCTGGGAAGGAAAAGAGCCACTGGGCAGATGCTGGAAGTCTGAAGTAACCTGGAGAAAATGGCCCTTTTCTGAAAATGTCACTACGCAGCTCCTGGCAGGGCACCTAGGCACCCCGGTGCTGTAGCAGTTACACGTTGGGCTGCAAGCCCCTGGTTGGCAGTTCAAAACCAACAGCAGCTCTCCAAGAGAAGGACGGGGTTTTCGACTTGCACACATGGTTACAGGCTCAGAACCCCAGAGCGGGTTGCGATGAGTCAGCACTGAGTCCAGGGCGGTGTGTTTGGTTTGGTTTTCCAGCAGGAACTCGGAGTCCCTGAGTGCCGACTGCTAACCCTAACAGTGGGCTGTTGAAACCCACCCACGGGCCTCTTGGAAGAAAACCTTGGCGACTACTTTCTAAAGGTCCTAGCTTTGAACATGCTATGGCGGGCAGTTCTGCCCAAAGTGGTCAAAACCAGGCACAGGAAACAGCAGGGTAGGAAAGCTGCCTGGGTGGCTGCCTGTCCAGGCGTGTGGGACCACTCTGTTTCTCTTCACCCGAGCTTTAAAATAACAAGCCTTTTTCTTCCTTCCTCCCTCCCTCCCTCCCTCTTTCCCTCCCTCTCCTCCTCCTCCTCCTTCTTCTTCTTCTTTCTCTCTCTCTCTCTCTCTCTCTCTCTCTCTATCTATCTCTCTCTCTCTCTCACTCTGGTTTCTTTAAATAATGGAAAGAACTAGGCAGTGCCCAGTTACCACTGCTGACCACTCTGGAAGGGGTCACAAGAGAACCAAGTGGGATGGAAAACATGGAACAGACACCCCCAAATCATAAAAGAGAGTAGACTTACTGCTCTGATGGAGATTCGTGGGATCCCCCTGTCCCACAGAGACTATGGCCCTTAGTCACCCTTGGGGTCTGGAACCGTGCCCTCCCACCGACTTCCCAAAGCTGAATTCACAGACAGTAGCAGACAGGCTCAAGGTGAAGAGCAACGAGTGATAGCTCATCTAGAACAATTAAGCTTCTGCGATGGAAAGGGCAGCATTGCTCAAGGCTAAAGCCCAGGAGGCAGAAAGGGACAGAGAGCAGGAGGCAGAGCGCTGTGTCCTCATCGGCAGGGGACTGTAAACAGGTATGAATCGCTGAATGGATTGGCAATTTGCTCTGCAAACTTCCGTCCAAGTCACAATCCAAAGGTTTTTTGTTTTGTTTTAAAGAATACGCACTTTCATTTGTAAATGTTCTTTGGCCCACAATGATGTCTGAAAGAATCAATCTCCCATGGCCATTGGCTGTCCATCCCCACCCCTTCACCTGCAGGTTTTTCTATCTCAGGGGACCCTCTCCTTCATTTAGGGGCTCCTCCATAACCTGTGGACCCCTCCATGTTCACTGGAGCCCCTCCTCAGTCAGAGGGACCTCTTCCTCACCTAAAGACCCACAGGGGATATTTCTTTTCTCTTCTCTTTTTTTTTGGAGGGGGTATTTCTTGGTCACCTGCAAACCTGCCTGCTGCTAATATTTCCACTAGGAAAACACCTTCTTCAAATGGAACCTCCTCATTCACCCGGGGACCCCTTTCTTCTTTACCCAGGAATTCCTTCCATGCCAGGACGGCCTTCCCCAGGCCTCTTCCCACCGCAAGAGGCCATTTGTCCTGCTGCAAATAGGAGCCCGGGATGAGCACCCAGCTCCGTTCTGAAATCACCCCTTTTAGGGCTTGCGTTGCTGCTGGGGTTCCGAAAACCTAGGCCCTCCCCTTCTCTTCTTGTCTGTGACCCTCGCAGGCGGGGTCTGCAGCAGTGCCCTGACCTGATCCAAACGCCCTCTATTCCCCCTTCATGCAAAAAGATCCATGGGGAGAAGGATGTGCACGCCAGTTCTGGGAGCTCTTCTGTC